TTATAGTAAGAAGGACAGATATATTATTTTGTATATATTGACTGCTTCTAGGACTCATATGCACAATCTTGGAAACGGAAATATACCATCAGAGGGAACAGTCATAAATATTAGACTGTGCAGAAATGGACAAGCTGACTCTAAAATTAAAAGATAAAGAGGAATCAACATAGTCTGGGAGGGCTGGTTTAAGAATAGTAACAAAAACAATGTTGTGATTAAGTAAAGAATAAGAAACTATACAGATATTGAATATAGAATAAATAGAAATATATGATGAAAATATATGATATAAATTAGGAATAAGAATAAGAAAAAGAATATGCAATGGTAATGTAACAAGATAATATGTATAGAAATAAGATAAGGAAATGTAAATGATGTCTTAATGTCAATATAATTGTGGATAATTTTATTTTATGTTTTTAAACCTTTGAAAACTGAATAAAGTTTATTTTAAAAAAAGAAATGGATAGAATATTGGTATTAAAGAAAACAAATAGTAAAATAAAGCTAGCTTTTGTACTTTTTAAACTGTTCAAAGTACATTTTTTCTTTGTTTATTTACTCATTAAAAATAAAATTGTTTTCAAAAGTTTAATATAATAGGGCGATTCTGCAGCTTAATATTAATCTTTCTTCTGTGATGCGGTCCAGATTATTATTAGCATACTAATAATATTGCATACTATTCTCAACATACAATAAAATATCGGAAACATAAAGCATCGTAATTCATATTATGTATTTATAAATTCTACTGCAGAATTACCTCATGCACTTTCTATGCAAATATGCTTAACCATTTCTTTACAATCTCACTGTATATAAATGCTTAGTTTTAACATTGCTTTTTAGATAACTCTTTCAAATATACATTGATATAGTCAAGAGTGAACCAAGTGGACTCTTAACACAGATGCTGTCCATTGGTGATATGGTATGCTTCAGTGTTGTTTTTTTCAACTTCGGCAAATTCAAGAGGTGTTGACTTCAACTCCCAGCATTCCCTAGCCGGCATTACGTCAACATATGTTCATGTCACAAAGTCTGAGAAACACTGCTTTAGTTAATCATAGCATTTTAATATAAATGTAGAAGAAATCTCAATTTATGATTATGTTTTGTTCTGAGACAAAATATACTTCAGGCTGTCATTCTATTGCTGTATAGAAAATATAATGGATTCAATGCATATTGCTTATTTGTTTGTTTTACATTCTATCTCTTTTCCATGATGAAAATTAAAGCAGGATAGCTAGCTGGTTTTCAGTTTTCCATATACTTTTATAAAATTCTTAGCTCAGACAGTCCTTAAGAGTAGAGGTTCCCAAAGTGGGCGGTACCACCCCCTGGGGGCCGGTGGGATGCCTTGGGGGGGTGCTAAGAGGCAAGGGGGCTGGCAGGGAGGCGCTAAGAGGTGACAGGGGGACATTTGAGGAGCCGGCCGACCCTGCAGTTTCACCCATTGAGGTACCAGCTCCACAGTCGATGTTTCCCAACGTGCCTGCGGGGGCAGTGCCTTGAACACAACAGCGGTGGCACGGCTTTGATCTACTTTTCCAATGCTTCACCACTGCCTGCCCTGGGCTTCATCAACCCTGCCCTGTACTGGCTCCAGGAAGCAGGTAACAGCACTGCCATCTACGACGTGAGGGGGTGTGCTTGGGAGGTGAGAGGGGCAGCCTGTGAACTTGCTGTCAGGCATGGCAACTACAAAGAGGGGTGGGCTTGGTTGAACGGGATCCTGGATATTGGGCATGTGGTCAAAGCCTTCCTGCCTATCTACCAATCTATCCATCCATCCATCCATCCATCCATCCATCCATCCATCCATCCATAAGTTCTGTCTATCTGTCTGTCTTTCTGTCTACCTACCTACCTACCTACCTATCCATCCATCTACCTACCTACCTACCCATCCATCTATCCATCAATCTATCTATCTATCTGCCTACCTACCTACCTACCAATATATCTACCAATATATCTATCTACCTACCTACCTATCCATACATCCATCCAAAAGGTCTGTTTGTCTGTCTGTCTTCCTGTCTGCTTGCCTGCCTGCCTGCCTACCTACCTACCTATCAATATATCTACCTACCTACCTACCCATCTGTCTCTCTGTCTCTATCTATCCATCCATCTTTCCATGTTCGAGGCACCAGCTCCACATCAGGAAAGTAGAGCACAGGGGCTTCTGGTTTGAGTCTCTTCGCTGAAAGACCAAAACCGTGACCATGCGCGGTTTTCGATCTGTGCTCGCCATGGACCCTGAGCCAGCTGGTCTTGGGGCTAAGCCACCCCGTAGAGGTGGTGAAGAGGGGGGAAACTGCCAGCAGGGTTGAGGAGAGCCGCATCTCTCCTCCTCAGCTGGCCATTACTCCCTTTCCCGAAGGCAGTTGCAGCAGTGGTCAGAAATGGCCACCTCAAAGAAGAACTCGACCGGAAAAGAATGTGCAGGAGGAAGATAAGAAGAGAAAGTTTTGGTTGACTGGGTTAAACTGCAAAAGCAACAATGTAAGGTATCCTGGAATTTAAAATATAAAAAAATAACATTGTTCCCAAATAAGATTTTGAAGCAGCGAAGGAGAGAGGGGGAAGGGAAAGGACTTGGTTTTTTTTCTTTCCTTCCTTACACTGAGAGCTAAGAGACGTAACCAAGAAATTGAAAAAAAAAAATCCACTTTGACATCAATAGGCATTTAAGCTGAAAATAAAATGTCAAAGGGATATTAAAGATTTCTGGATACTTAAAAGCTTTTAAAAGCAAGAAAGGAGAGAAAAAGAATAAAAGGGCAGGATCTGGAAAAATGGAGGAGACTGCCTGGATTTAAAAGGAATTTACAGTGAAATCTCAACAAGACTCCTTGTGTGATATAAACGTTCATTTCCTTCCTATTCTAATTAATCAAACAATTGGCTATTAATCTACATAAAAGACAACGATTAGCTTAGCATGAATGTAATGTCTTTCAATCATTTTCTTCCTGCTTTTAAGCTAAGGGACAGGCCTTTTGTTACAAAGCCTGTAATATCTAGTATTGAATTTTGCCATTTGGGAGAACTTGCCTCAAGGCCATTTGTAAAGCATATGCACTGAAACCAACAATTGCCAATTATGTGAACAGCAACCTTTAACTCTCAATTAAACACCTTGTAGTCCAAATCTATATAAGCATTTAATGGAGCAAACAAACTGCCTCCACCTATAAATATTTGCATTTTCTTACAAGTTTCTCTGGACTAATATTTATGGGGAAGGAAGGATATTTATGAGATTACCCAGTAGAATATATTTGGTACTGTGTAAAATCTGAAAAGCATTAAACATTTTAAATGTATCTAATCTCATTATTTTATTTTGTTTGCAAAATTGTTTGATACGGTGTATACTTATGACTCTCTTTTAGATTTGATGTCCTTATAAAAATAAAATCTAAATAAAAGTCTGTAAGAGATCTAAATTATTATAGTCAGTTCTGTTACATTCACTGTAATTTTCTAGAAATAAAACAGGAATCCAATAGAATTTATAATTATTATAGCCATCACACTCTCACTTAGGCAATAATGTTTAGTTGTATTTAAAACTGTGAAAAAGAAAACAAAAAACACTTCCAATATATAAATTTTAATATAATTATTAAAGAACCATTTCCTGATTTGATTATGTAACTGAAGGCAACTGCAAACATAATGCAACATGAATCCAAAGATTTTTAATGCCTAAAGAATATAATTACTGAAGGATTCCTCAGGCTCTTCAGGAGTAGGAAAAGAACAAGGCTACCCTGAAACTATTTCTAATTTCTGTATCCCGTTCTTGATCTAACCTACTGAAATGGTCATGCTTATTCATAGCTTATACTACGGCTTGAATAAGTTCAATCAAAGTACAGTAGAACCTCTGGTCACAATCATAATTTGTTCCATAACTTTGGTGATTTCTTCATCTTCTAATGTTTTGTCTTCAGGAATTTCTGGGTCGGGGTCATGTTTGATCACCACCCAAGTATGTGTTCATGACCAGATTCAAAAACTTCGTGAATTTTTTATTGGAACCCGATTTGGTCATGGTCTGAAGTGTTCGTGATCAGAGATTCTACTTATTGGCTTTGATACATATGGAAGAATGACACTATTAAATATGACCCAAATTTTATTCTATGTTCCTCAAAAAATATTAGGCTAAAAATGAAGAACTTACACTTTTCCAAAATTTTGCCACTGTTCTTCTATAAGAAATAAAATATAGTAACATAGCATTTACATTGATGTAGTTTTCCATAGAGCTTTACAGCATTCTGTGGGCAGTTTACAACATCAGTAAATTGCCCCCAACAATCTGGCTCTTTATTTTACCAACCTCAGAAGAATCAAAGGCTGAATCAACTCTGAGTCGTCAAGACTCCGGACTATTGGGAAGAGTTAGCCTGCAATACTCCATTCTAACCACTATACTACTAGAGCTCCATACACTTTGTTGAATCTGAGCAGCTAACTTTGGTTACATGTGCAGCTTTTAATTTGATTTCAGATTTTATCATCCTGAACCAAGTTGCCAAAGTTGTTTTGTGACTGGAAAGCTAGAGCAACCACAGATTTACAATATCTCATTTGTACTACACTATACATAGAAAAAATATCCAAAGTCCCCTCACAGCCTATGGTTTCCTACTATATCTACATAGCTAAGATGGGTAGTGTGGATTTACAAGAGCACTATTAAGGGAAATTGGGTGAGCAAATATTGCAAACCTTAAAAATAGGCTGCTTTCATATTTGCTTCTCTTTTGTGTCTGGATTTGGTTGGGCTGGGAGAGATGTATCAAACTTTCATATCTTAAAAAAGGGTGATTTCCCCCTCCCCCACCCTTATCTTAATAGCAGAAGATTCAAAGATTTATTTCAATAAATAAGAATAGTTAGAAAAAACAGACATTACTTTTTCTCTATGTTATTTACTGGAGATATGATATTGAATTATAACTTACGATTGTTACAAGCATCTGACTGATTTCTGTTGGAAGAAGGATGATGGCAAGGTCCTGTTGATTTTGAGAGATCAGCGGTGAATGTTTGCTGACAAGAAATATCCATGTTGAAGTTGGCCTGATTTTCAGTTCTCCTTGGTAACTCTGAATCTGTTAAATTTACACTATTCCCACAGTCTTGGTAAGCTAGAGAATTTGATCTGTTGAGGTGGTTTAATGACATCTGTACTAGGGTTTCTTTTATGATGGCTGAATTTTCACCACAAAAACTGTCCAAATGAACAGGTCCCATTATCTGTATATAAGAATACAAAAGGAAGTCTAAGCAGGCCAAATTTTTATCATTTCCTGCCACCATAAATCTGTCTTATATCTTGAAGTAATTAACCAGCTTTGAACAAAAAAGAAGAAAAACCCTTCATTTTATTCATCTGTTGCCAAGATGAGACTCAAGAGCAGGTAGCAAGTTCAAGCAATGAACAATTTGTGGAAAAAAATAATAATTTAACACTTAAACAACTTCACCTGATGAAGGAAGTGAGAGAGGGAGGGAAGAAGGGAGGGGAGGGGGCATGTTTTGGAATAGTTCTTATTTTTTTCTCCTCTTAAAACAAGTATGTGCTATAATTTTCTCCAAGTAAGCACTAGATTAGACTGTTGCTACTTTTCTATGTTTTGTCTGCTGTTTAAAAAGAAGCTAATTTTGAGATTATCCTGCTTCTCAGATTATGTAAGTAGAATTATCACTTGTAAATGAAAAAGCATGATACCTAAATTATAGTCCATAAACTACAAAAACTCTTAAACAACAAATTTTGCTATCTTCATTCCACTGGCTGACACTTCCTGTGGATAGAGAAATCCTAACAATCGTAACTGGTACTCCTCATTTCCCACATATTATAGAGAAGACCTCAAAGGCACATTCAGGTTGAAGACTTCAGGCATTTCTCTATTGTATGTATACTGTACTCTAATTACTGTGTATCCCTGAAAATAGGACCTACCCTGAAAGTAAGTCCTAGCTTGATTTTTATACATGTGCCCAATATAAACACAACCCCCAAAATAACCCCAAGTTAAGAGCCCATCCATTCCAGGGTTTATGGGGTGGGGTGAGGCACATGGGTAAAAATGAAGCTTGGAGATGCCCTACTTACCAGGCCTCGTACACCCTGATACCTGCCTTGCCTTGCAGGCCCACTTCTTCTATGGCCGCTTGCCACTAATCGTGCACGTTGCTCCGGCCTCTGTTTCACCATCCGAGGCCTTCAGATCAATCAGTAATGAGTCAGTAATTAGATATCCCCCCCAAATAAGACCTGGTACCTTTTTTGGTGGCAAAAAAATAAATAAAACCAGGTCTTATTTTTGGGGAAACATGGTATAATACAGTGGTGGGATTCAAATTTTTTTACTATCAGTTATGTGGGCGTGGCTTGGTGGGCCTGGCAGTAGAAGGATACTGTAAAATCTCCAGACAGAGGTTGTATTTGCCAGTTCTTCAAACTACTCAAAATGTCCGCTACCGGTTCTCCAGAACTGGTTACAACCTGCTGAATACCGCTTCTAGAATAATACCCTTGTTTTTCCTCTGTGGTATTGCACTGCCAATGGCTTCCTTCCCACCTTTTCAATTCCTAGATCATCCTGATCACCCTGACTTGTCCATCAGAATGATACAATGGCTTTTCAGTGACAATGCCTGGAGTTTGGTATTTCTAGTAAAATAGTAGTATGAATGCTGGAAACTTAAAGCAATCACTATAAGTAATTAAGCTCAACACAAGTTATTAATCAACCTTTATCTCTTCTTTTTCTGAGTTACATAAATAAGGTAGTGATTCAGATATTATCTCAGCCATAAACTCAATGGGTTCTTTACTAGTTTTCAGTCTCATGCGTTAGCTCATCAAACTGGACTACCTCAGCTGGGGCTTGAGGGAGATGCATCACCAAGTTTAATAATGTTTGGAAATGCTGCATACCTCATTGGTTCCCGATGAGATGACTGCTGGCAGATTGCTTTGATGGTTGTGTTTCCAGTGGTGCAAAATGTTTTGTTGCAACCTGACAGTTTCCCGTTCCTTCTCCACCATCCTTTGACTCTCTTGGAGTCTCTGTAGGTTCTGTTGGTAATCTTGGAACTGGCTATCCAGCTCTTCACGGTTTTTGCAAAGCAACTCTTCTTGGTTACAGCATTCTTTCTCCTTCTCCAGCAACCTGCTCTCTCTTGTCTCGTGCGCCTGTTGCTGTTGCTCACATTCACGGTGCCATCGTTGCTGCTCTTGCTGAAATTGCTGCTGGAGTTTACGAATATTTGCGAATTCTTCTTTTAAGTTTCTGTGTTTTTCTTGTTCGAGAAAGAAAGTGCTCCGTGGACTGTGGCTCAAGCTGGACCTTTCATGTTCCTGCAGAAGCAGCTTATTGATCTCAATGTGAGTGTCCTGGATAGTCAAGGCTGCCTTTTCATCAAAACAAAATGCAGTAATAATTTCTATCAGTTGTTCTATTCCTTTTTATAAAATATCCACATTTAATGCATAATAGCTTTTAAAAGAAAATTCCACATTCAAGTCTAAGACAATGTTTGTTGTTTTATTCCTTTAACATACGGTTTCCATTTTCAGATAATAACATGTGTTCATTTTCTGCACTAATCCTATGATTAACGTTATGGTTTTTGGATCACTATACCATACAATTTTACAAATTCTGGCTTATCTGGAAATATATTCTTAAGTGAGATAGGAAGTGCTTTCAACAGAGGTCATATATATCCCAGCCATAATCTCAGAATCTCCTCCACCTTTTACAATAAATATTTAAGTTTGGGGTCACATTATCTGAAGGACGCTTGCACTTGCCTAAGCTCTAAGATCAGAACATTAACACTTGGACAAAACTATGAGAATTGTCAATTCTAGACATATGGACTTTTCTAAACAACACATAGAGCAACACATAAAGAATGACTATTATCATTCAGATGAACTTTGGACATGTTTTATGCTCCAAACCTCAATAATGCCTTTATTAGAACTGGTCCAAATTTCCAATCAATCAAATATCTATATCAGTGGTGTCTAACCTTTTCAACACTGCTGAAATGGGAGTGCGTGCACACTGAAAACCGGAAGAGCAGCTTCCTGATGTGTCCACAGGAGCGCCAGAAACCAGAAGCTTAGCTTCCCGACACGCATATGGTCTTCTGGTTTCTAATATGCATGTCCATGTGAAAACCAGCTGCCCGGCGCATGCATGGGCTCCGGGGAGCTGCTCTTCCGGTTTTCAGCGCTCCCACACACATGAAGACTAGCTGGCCAGCGCACATGCATGCGCCAGAACCCGGAAGAGCAATGGGCAATGGCTGCTATGTCCAGAGAAATGGCTCTGCGTGCCACTTCTGGTACATATGGCATAGGTTCGCCATCACAGATCTATATGATTGCCAGGAATAGAAAATGACTTGATGCCTCAGAATCAAACTTCCAACAGTGAGCTTTGAAAAATCCTGAAGTTTGCTCATTATCCTATCATTTCAACCAGCTTTAACTAAGATGTCCTATACTTTGATTTTCCAGGTTGGGGGGATTCACAGTTATCTTTGATCATTCTTTTTGTCCACATGGGATAAATTTTCTTGGATAGAATTTACATATGCTTAATTTTATAACCCTGAAGTACATTTTATAGAATGGTTGGACAGCAAACTCCTTAGCACTTCTTAGTAGCACTGATGATGTTACCTACTTAGTGTAATGAAACTTCTGCAAGAAAACAAGCAGAGAGCACCAAGGACTACTCATTTCAACTCTGAGCTACAAATATTCTCCTTTATTGGTTTTCTCTCTAATTTCATATTTTTATTTTCATATGAACAGTAAATACATGCATGATATTGAATATCTATTCAGAATTTTCTCTGACTATTCTTCAAGAAAAAACTAACTTCAGACTTTAAAGTTGTAGTAGAGACAATTCAGGGGTCTATCACCTTAGTCAGGCTCAATCAATCATGTACTTTAGGAGAAAATAAATGCTACACTGATGTTTAAATTTAATTAATTGTTTTCCTCAAATTGATATGCAAGAACAAAGACAACACAAAAAGACAACTTCTAACTAATCCATTGTATAGTAGTTTCCAGCTCTTTATAATTAATGAACATTTTTTTTCAAATATTAGGATAATGTTCAGAGAAGACTTTTTGTAAATCTTCTGCTAAACTGTTAACAGTTCTTTGAAAATCAGAAAAGCTGTGAGCTGTTCAATGTACAATTTTTAAAAATCCATTAAATTTGCTAAGCAATAATCACCTGAATGCTGTATAAGAGCCGTGTTAAATTCTGGATAGTCTGCACAACCTAAGGAAAGAAGGAAATATTGAGGATGAGATAGGAATTACAAAGCATAATAAACTTACAGTAGGAAATATTAATAGATTGCTATAAGAGAACCATCTTACCTCAGTTTGTGCAGAAGCAGAAAAGCAGGCATTTTCTTCCTACAAACATAGAATTACATTAGACTATTTGTGGAACTGTACTGCCATCTTCTGGTCCGCCTAGGAAATTATCTAAAACTTTTGCTATTTACAAATATGTTGTAGTTCATGCACAAATATATTAAGCAGCTATTTAATGGCAGATTTGAAGAAAAGAAGGCATAAAGACTAGATAAAGTGAAAGTACAAACAAAAAAGAGAATAGGAAAAGGACTAAATTCAATGTCTAGATAATGCCATTCAAGGAGCATATGAAAGTACAGTACCTGATCTAGTATATCCATTTCTGCTACATTGTTTTCATAGTGCATGTCAGAATTACAAATTTCTTTCTCTACCTTCTGTAGTTCTGTACCTAGAGATTAATGCCAAGAGGAACAAAATGACAGAATTGAAAAATTAAATGCCAGTCTCTCTTTAATTATTTTGGATTCAATATATTATTTCTAGCATTCTACTCTTTGCTTTCTTTTCTTGTTCTTTTTTCTTGTTCTTTTTCTACCCTTTCTTTCCTGAGATTTTCCCCATGTCCAAGTAGGGATACTGCTATTCAGTTTTCCATCAATTTTTTTGTACCATTAAGAATTTTTAAATAAAATGTTGAGTTCAATCACCAAGAATAAGCATATATGTGCAATTGGTATTGGCGGAACTCCTTTCTAACAGAACTTTTATTTTAACTGGTACTGGAGAACCATCAATTATCACTGTAGTTAGGTGGAAGGTCTAAGTTTTGAAGACCTACTTTACTTGCTTTCAAAAAATTTAAAGTTAATGTTTGCATTCTCATCTTAAAAATCAAAGAAATTATATCTTTGTTTTACTTTTCTTCCAATGGAGTGTTACTATAATACAGAAATGCAAGTTCCCTTTTTGTGATAGAAAAATAAATGCAATATCACACTATCAATACAGCAAATATCTTTAAGACTTCAAGGCCAGATTATTATTTTTTAAAGTAATCCCCAAGCATACGAATAAACATGGCATACAAGCGATTCAATCATTGTCTCAGATTAAGAATTTCTCAATTTTTGCAATAATAAGGATTGAGTTAACTAAATCCATTCACGGTTTATATTACATTAGCACATACCTGATTGAAACATTTATGTCAGGAATGCAAGTACCAGTGACATACCTAATTCTTCTAGTAAGTATCTTTGTATATTGTATTAGATTTTCCACATTTTCATATTTTGAAACAATCATGGTAAATACATCTAAGCCATGGATGATTAAAAATATTAGCTCTTACTAACAATCAGTGAAAGGTTCACGTTCTTCAGTTTCACTAAGATTTGTCAAACATGAATCACCAACACTCTCTTCCTTTGAGTGGTTTGTGTCTTTCGTTTGCAATAATGCTACTGTTGTATGAAGGTTTTCCGCTGCAACAAAAACAAACACTTAGGTGTTTATTGTGTCTGTGAAGTAAACAGTAATTCTTATATCACTTATAAGAAAGAAAGAGAAGGAGATGTTTATTGTGGTCAATGATTAGCCTATAAATATCAGTCATATGTATTCTTTCATATACATACGACTGATAATGTTTAATCAATTAGATATAATAGTTTATATATAACATGTCAAACTTTAGCTACACTTAAAAGTATATTTTAGTCTTTCAAGCTTTTGGACTCGTGTTGGAGTCCATCCTAAGGGAGCTCCTCTCTCTAGAACACTCAACATATATATTTATGTGGTTCTTGGTTGTGTGTGACTTTTAGTTGTTAACTGGGCTGTTGATGGGTAGCCACTAAGTCACTGATTGGTTGTTTCCTTGTGCTGCCATGCCCTTGACTTTTAAGTATCTAGTAAGCTGGTGGTAAATCAGCACGCCTGTTGACTGACAAGGGGCCCATTTCCCAGGATTCAATCATTTCCCTTGCCATTTTTGTCCCTGCTTGGCCAACAATCTTAGTAGCTGCAAAACTGAATATATGTCCTTGTTCATTGCAATATGAGGCTATCAATGAGTTTGAATCTCCTCGTTTAACTGCTCACTTGTGTTCTTACAATCTGATGCTTAGCTTTCTCCCCGTCTGTCCTACATAGTCACAGGGGCAATCCATGCAGGGAATCCGGTAAATTGCATTAGAAGTTTCTCGCACCTCCAAGTCATCCTTGTAATGCATGATTTATAAGGGACAAAAAAAATCTATTAAAAACTTCTTCTGGGGAAGGATATCAGGTCTAATGGTAATGTACAATCTTCATCACAGCAAATAAAATTCAACTGAATCAGTTCAGTGTGTGTGTGTGTGTGTGTGTGTGTGTGTGTGTGTGTGTGGTGTGTGTACACACACACACACATATATATAAAGGTCTAGTGTGTTCAGGTCTTTTCCCATGTAAGCTTAAGAGTATCTTGGTGACGTTTCGGCAAGGTCCCACGCGCCATCCTCAGGCTGGTGCTTTCAGCTTCGTGCCAGTGCCGTCTCTCTATAAATACTGGTGTGGGGGCTGCTGTGCTGTGCTGGTTGGCTACGCTGCTGCCTCTTGATTGGTTGATGGAGTTGATGTTGGTATAATGGGCTGTGTGATGGCCTTGTGAGTTTTGTTGTGGAGATATCCTGGATCTTGTGCTGTAATCTCCTGGGTCGTTTGTTTTGTAGTGATCTTTTTTCCATTAGCCTCTCATGTTTTAACGGCTTGGGTAATGGGTTGTGTGATGGGCTTGCGAGTTCTTTTGTTGTGGTATCCTGGGTCCTGCACTGTAATCTCCTGGGTCATTTGTGTTTTGATCTCTTTTCCGTTAGCCTCCTGTGTAGTAATGGCTTGGGTAATGGGTTGTGTGATGACCTTGTGAGACTTATTGCTGTGGTATCCTTGGTCTTGTGCTGTGATATCCTGGATCATTTGCTGTGTTGCAACTTCTTGAGTTCTTGTGGTGTAATTTCCTGAGTTTTCTGATGTGATATCCTGAGCGGGTGGCTG